TCATTAATTTGGATTACGTAGATAACTGAGATTATACATAACGAATTTCTTGGTCATTATTTTGAATTCCTAAGAGAACAGTGGATACCCCAGCCATATTAGTAGCATTAACAAGTAAGTTGGTGGAGAGTTCTACACGCACAGTCACTTCACTTCCAACCAACCAACCAAACACCCAGCACGTGAAACTGACTCAGTTTTCAGCCTGTGGGTTTATATTAACAGGAAAGAACAACACAGAAATCACACTGTCTCGGTTATTCATTACCCACGCTGGATGTTTCATCGTCACTTTTTTCTTGGTTGATTCATTTTTGCAGTAACTATAACTTAAACTTCTGATACATTTGACTGAAAAACTTTAAATCTCACCACTGCCAACCTAGTGCACTAGATCATACTGAGTAGCGTTGACTTAGATGTATACAAAGTAGTAATTTTACAGCATATTGCACCATCATTAGAAATAAAAACCACTGGCAGCTTAGGAAAGGATTAGCTTTGATCACTTGTGTGTGTATAGATAGATAGACATATAACCAATAACTTCTTGTAATGATCATTGAATTTACCTCAGAGCAAGAACATAGAACTGAAAGTACTATAAAAGCATAGAAAGCATGTGAATACCAGAATTTAGTGGATTTTAACGCGCATCCCTCCTATGTCTCAGCGGTAAGTTTGAGGGCTTATAACGCTAAAAATCGGGTTTCGATATCCGCAGTGGGCAGAACACAGATAGTCCATTGCGTAGCTTTGTGCTTAACAGGAAACAAATAAATGAATTTAACGCGCATGTAGCGACACCGTGTTGATTACTGATAAAACAAATTACATATATGTTCGTAATATAAAAAAAGCAGTTGTTTTCTTTCACACTTTGAACTGATAATGTGTCGCTGTTTAATTGCATAATGAATGCCCTGCTAATTTTATTTCTGCAATCATTCTTAACAACGGTTTAGGAAATCATTTTGTACGGAATTGAATGGTAAGATATTAAGTTTATTCAAAACATGATTCCTGAATTATTCTACAAGTGGCACAGTGGTATGTCTGCGGACTTACAACACTAGAAATCGGGTTTCGATACCCGTGGTGGGCAGAGTACAGACAGCCCATTGTATAGCTTTGTGCTTAACTTCGAAGAAACAAACAACCAATTATTATAAATTAAGATAAAAATCAAATACGCTTATAAATTATTATTATTGTCCCCGTCAGAGAGGTATAAAAAAAACCTAAACTTGGTAGTTACTTTAATGAAATACAATGTAAAAAATCCAAATATAATACACAACTTCACTAGCAGGTTCCTATATCCTTGATGTGATTATATATTCATTCTGTTTTTTAGAAATTTCAAAACAAAATCAGATTCCGAAAAATGTCCTTAACTGTTCAAATACCTTAGTTTCGATAGGATGCATCCAAAGCTCTAGGATTTCTAACAATGACTTGGAGGGGGTTCGTTCAATACGCTGCTACGTGTTTTGACTACATTATAAACACAGCTGTCACCCATGGATTGGAGAAATTACAGGTGTTCGTCTCACAGCTATGAACAAATGTAGAGTACGTTAAACCGAAAATCTAACAGCATAGTTGAGGTTGTCTAGAAAAGTGGGAAAACAGTAGAGTTTGGTGTCGTCTGGAAAACTAGGAAAAACAGCCAAGTTGAATATTGTCTAGAAAACTAGGATAAAAAACAGCAAAGTTGGTTATCTGATATAAAATTGGAAAAACAGCAAAGTTGAGTGTCGTCTAGAAACTAGGAAAAACAGCAAAGTTGAATATCGTCTGGAAAACTAGGAAAAACAGCAAAGTTGAATAGTGTCTAGAAAACTAGGAAAAACAGCAAAGTTGGTTATCTGATATAAAATTGGAAAAACAGCAAAGTTGAGTGTCGTCTAGAAAACTAGGAAAACAGCAAAGTTGAATATCGCCTAGGAAACTAGGAAAAACAGCAAAGTTGGTTATCGTCTAGAAAACTAGGAAAAACAGCTAAGTTGAATATTGTCTAGAAAACTAGGAAAAACAGCAAAGTTGAATATTGTCTAGGAAACAAGGAAAAACAACAAAGTTGGTTATCTGATATAAAATTGGAAAAACAGCAAAGTTGAGTGTCATCTAGAAAACTAGGAAAAACAGCAAAGTTGAATATTGTCTAGAAAAATAGGAAAAACAACAGGGCTGAGTATCGGATAGAAAACAAAGGATAACCACATCGTATATAATACAACCTTAATTGGCAACCTCGCCATAGAACTTGTTTATTATTCTGATCTGGCGTAAATATAGTTTATTCCTGCAGCAGACAAGTTCCAAACTTCATTATACAAAACAGTTACGACGCATGATATACATTTTATCCCATTTATGTATTTGTAGTTAAAAACGGATATTTACTTACTATAATACTGATATTTCATAAGATAAGTTTCGTAAGATTAGATATATATATATTTATAATCTTGCACATAACCTCAGAAAACGTTTAAGTTATATAATCCATGTTCATGCAAATATTACCGCAAAACAACACAAAAATCAGACAGAATCGTTTCTTGAGTTCGAAAATCGAAACGATACGTTTTCAACCTCAAAACGCGGTTCATGAGTTCTTCTGCTAACCAGAACCATTGACCATTAAATAATTTCAGTTTTGTTTTTACTTTAATGTTTTTTATCTTTTACTCGTTCTTGTTGATCTTATTAATTAAAAATCACATTTGGTATTTATTTAACTGTATAAGTTATGTACCTAGTTTGGTTTGGTTTGAATTTCGCGCAAAGCTACACGAGGGCTATCTGCGCTAGCCGTCGCTAATTTAGCAGTGACATACTAGAGGAAAGGCAGCTAGTCATCACCACTCACCGCTAACTCTTGGGCTACTCTTTTACCAACGAACAGTGGGATTGACCGTCACTACTTAACACCCCCACGGCTGAAAGGGCGAGCACATTTGGTGGGTTTCGAATCAGCGAACCTCAGATTGTGAGTCGAGGGCCCTAACCACCAGGCCATGCCAAGCCTCTAAGTTATGTACATATTTAATTTAGAATTTTTATCAAACATTATAGCAAAGCATTGAATAGAGAGCTTGATAAACAACTCTAATATATTTGAAAAAATTGTCAAACTAATCTCAAAACAACATTATGAGGCAAAGAAGATAACATATTGAATTTTTAAAATTACTTTTTTATGTCATACCTTTTCTTTAAGCAGTCTCCGTATCCTTGTTGCTTGTTCACGAAATCGTTGTAATGAGTATTCCAGTTCATGACATCGTTCTTGCCACTTAACTGTAGTTTCTTGCTCCAACATGATGGCGCCAACTTTACAAATCTTCTCCCAAAAGGAAAATGCAAAAAGGAGACCCCTGATTACTCAGAGTTGTTGTCAAGGGGAAAACGTTTTCAGATATTCAGATACAATTTATCCTTCTGCTGGTAACTTAGCAATTATGTATCCTTCGCGTATTCACTTTACCCTGCTGGTCGTATCATCGCATTGTATCTTCTAAGTACTCAGTTTACCCTACTCTGTTGATCGTATCACCACGACGTATCTTCTGAGTATTCACTTTACCCTGATGATCATATAACTGTGGTGTATCTTACGAGTATTCACTTTACCCTGATGATCATATAACTGTGATGTATCTTACGAGTATTCAGTTTACCCATCTTATCGTATCTCCGCGGTGCATCTACCGAGTATTTGTTTTACCCTGCTGCTTGTACCACTATGATGTATCTTTCTAGTATTTAATCTATCCTCCTGTTTGTATCAATACGGTGTATCCTCCGAATATTCAATTTAGTTTGCTGACCGTACCGTATACGGTATAACCTTCGGATTTTCAATGTCACCTATAGGTCACTTCACTGTGACTTTTTCTGCATTTATTTTAGCCTGTGAAGAAAAACACCAAAAATTAGTAAACATCTAATCAACGTATAAAGTCAGGAAGTTAGCATTAAATCACCAGAAGACAGCAAAAATTGCATTATATCACTAAACATATAATACAGTGTTTACTACAATCAAATAAATTGTGCAACCCTAACACGTATGCGTTGGCTCGTTTTTCCTAACTCAATACAGCAACATTTTAATATATGCAGAATATATGCGTATTTAAACATTAAAGAAACTGGATAACCTAAATATTTCCGGCAAGTGGGTCTTCCAAATCACCTGATGTTATTCGGGTTTTTACTTTTATTTATCTACTTTTTTGGTTTTAACTAAGACAAGATTAAGTTATAGTTCCATCCCTAAACTTAGAATATTGTAGAAAACGAGTGTGTGCGTTTTATAGCAAAGCTACATCGGGATATCTGCTGTGTCGACCGAGGGGAGTCGAACCCCTCATTTCAGCATTGTAAGTTCATAGACTTACCGCTGTCCCACCGGGGGACTATGCCAAACGTCACATAACAATTAAATCAATTTAACCCTTGAAACTCTCTTTTTTTTTTGTTGTTGTTGTTGTTGTTTGTTTGTTTGATTGATTGATTAACTTATCAACACTTGAAACTTTTCTGTTTATTTAAAAACTCGTCAATCCCTGAAACAGTTCTGTTTATCTGAATAACTCAACAATTCCTGAAGCTGTTTTGTTTATCTAAATATCTCGCTGCCCCCAAAACAGTTCTGTTTATCTGAATAACTCGTCAACCCCTGCAATTGTTCTGTTTACCTGAAGAACTCGTCAACCCCCTGCAATTGTTCTGTTCAACAGAATTTCTTGTATTTCTAATCAGATCAAGTAATGTATTCCTAGTTTATAAAGACACTGTTGTTTTTTTTTATAAAATCCAAATTATCAATTGTTCTTAAGACTTTAAATTAAGTTCTTTGGTGTCTCACTTTATATATTTTTCAGATATGTTGTACCTCATTTAAAGAAGTCTTCATTTCTCTATAAGCAACTCTTTCACCATAGAGCCGAAGACAGCTGCTGAAATTCCTAAATTTCTGAATTTTTAAAAATTTCATCAAACTAATATAATGCGATAAAAAGAGTTTAAGTTTAATACTTTAAGTCGGGTGTGGCTTAATGGTTAGTGCCAGATTGATTATTGGAGGATCCCAGGTTTGAGTCGAGATACCCCTAAACACGTACACACTTTCATTTGTGGACGCGATATACAGGTGACAATTAATCCCATTATTATTTCAAAGAGCCGAATGAACCCAATGAGACGGCGGGTACTGCTAACTGCCTGCTCTCCTTTTTTTAAATAGTTCATAATTAGGCACGGCTATACGATAATCCTATGGGTCCCTTATCTGTCCGTTTAACCCATGTGTCACAAAAGGTGCTTTTCAGGTTGAAAATACCAAATACTTTAGGTCTTCAGAATATTATTTTTAGTACATTATTTCAACATTTGCTTTGCGCTGAGATCGTTAAGTTAAAAAACAGATTCAAAATATATTGGTTAATAATAAAGTATACCGTATTAAATTATTATTTTTTAACTCTTTTTATGTAGCTACCAACCCTAACATCACTACACGTACTGTGAGGTCTACCAGCTGGAAAATATCCTCCACAATTAAAGGATGCCTTAAGGGTAATAAAAACCGACTGTTATTATTAATTAAGAGTTTCGTACGAAACTGTCAAACTGCACATTGTGATACATAATACATCTAGGCGATTTCCAGGGCCCTAGAACCATATTACTTCGAGCCTATACATTATTATATTCTTCAAAAGACCGCAGTGCAGGTTGATCTACTGCTTCATTGTTCCCAAAGTGAGCAATTCTGGCTCAGGCAAGCCATCACTGGCTGTTTTATAAACCTAAGGCTTCTGTGATAGCTAGATGGCGAGGATTAATGTATTGGAAAGGTTTAGGTCGAGTTTCGTTAAAATTAATCAATATTTTGTTTTTTCTTAGATTGTTTTCTATGGTCTATTCTAAGGCATGCTTCTTTTTCCTTTCAATTAATTAATCTTCGTAGACTAACCAAACTTGATCTATCTTCGTGGAGAACAGGTCTCTGTCTTCTTCTTATCCTGATTAATTTGTTTAAAATACAAAAAGTACAATGTAGCATTCAAACTTGTACAGCTATTTTCAAAATGGTAAGAATATTTGAAGCTGCAGTAAGTTTGAAACATACTAATAAGACGTAAAAGTTACAGAAACATTTCAGGAAAGTTTTATCGTTACTTGTAAAGAAATAAATAATAATACTACCATTAAAATACTTAAAATTATCCCCCCCGACCGGCTCAATTGAAGGCTTACAATGCTAAAAAAACAGGGTTTCGATACCTGTGATGGGCACAGCAAAGTTAGCCCTGTGAAGCTTGGTGCGTAACAATAAACAAACCTTAAATTTATTAAAGTATTCTAAAATTTCGGTTCTGAAGAAACAAAGACTCCTATAGTTACTTATTCTATAAATAGTGGTCGTCGTAAAAGGTAATACTCAGGTTCCGGAGTAGGATAATGGTTTAACGATAACAGAGTAAATCCCTTCATGAAATTCCGAAAAGTTTTATTAGTTAGCTGTATTCTAATATTTTTTGTTATTCCTACATTAAACCGTAGATGATATATTTACAAGTGGCTGAAAAATAGATATTTATAATAAAGTCAACAATCTTTGAAATGAAAATTCACTGGTGAAATTTGTATTAGGTCAGCAATTTACATTAGTGCATTTTTATATATAAATAATCATTTTTAATGCTTTTCAAAGCTTATAATGGTTTCGAAGTTTAAGCTTTTATTCGTTAATGACTAATATATATTAAGAAGCCAGTTTCTGGTGGCTTTTTAGAAAACTAAGACATACATACTCATAAGTTTGGCTTTTAAAAATACAAAACGTTAACTACCAGTAAACAAAAAATAGTATATATATTATATGTGTAAGTCGTATACTGCAGTTTTTCCCATTCTTCTTAATTTGTCCATTAGGAGTGTGTAAAAATCTGAAGTATACATTATTTTTATCATAAATATTATGCTTACTGGGTTCCATTCTTCTCTAGCTATCAGCATTTAGCCCTTAATCGTGAGTCTTACAATACATAAGTAGATACCATTTCATGTAAATTTTTCTCTCTTTTTCTGAGGGGTGTAACAAGTGGTGATTCGAATGATAAGATTCCCTGGGTTGCGTTTCACGTTTCTTTCACGGCGAAAATCGCAATTTTGATTATAAGAAAAAGTTTTATTATATTAAACAGGTTGTTCGCTAAATAATTTAAATACTTTATCAATATTGGTTCACTCTTTTGAGTAAAAAATAACGTAAACAAACACGCATCAGATCAAAAACAACTAGCGTTTCGTTACTCAAACGATTGTAATAAGGGTTTTCAAATTATTAAGGGAAACGAAGGAATAGGGTTTAACTTGCCAGATCACGAATAACTCGAGTCTGGTAATTAACTTGTCATATCTTAAAGGTTTGTTTGTTTCGTTTTTTGAAGTTAAGCACAAAGCTACACAATGGGCTATCTATGCTCTGCTCACCACGGGTATCGAAACCCGAATTCTAGCGTTGTAAGTCCGCTGTGCTACTGGGGAGGCAATATCTTAAAGGATATAACGTCAACATTATAAGCCTGATTAATTTAACTTAATTATTACAAGACGTTTAAAATCCATCATTGGCTTATTCTAACGGAGCACATGAAAGGTAGTAGTTTTTCGTGAAGGAATAAATTTCCTCAAAGGATTTAAAAATTATATCTTATTTAAAAATAATTTAGACGATACAAAGAAAAATATTCGTCCCGAGAAAGTTTTTCTGTTATGTTATAACGATTTTACAGTAGAAACAGTTTCTGTGATAGCTCTAGCCTCTATAAAATAAAGAACGCATGTTTCGAATTGTTTATCTATAAACCCAAACAAATTTGTAATATAATACTTTACATGAAAAATAATCACAACTATTAAAACAATTCACGCACGCTTTTCGACATTGTGGCTTAAAGAACTAATTTTCTGGTTATTGTTAAGCGAAAAGTTACACAATGTTTTATCTGTTCTCTACCCATCACGGCTATTGAAACCCGATTTTTAGCGGCGTAAGCTTGTAGACTTGTCACTCATCCACTAATGGGGGAGGGGAGAGATCTAAGTAACTACGAGAGTTTTTCCTGCAGAACCATTTGACAACCGACTTTGAAACAACTTGCCTACCTATCTGATCAAATTTTATTTGAAATCTAGGATTTTTTATACTAAATTCGTTAGATTCTAATTCTTCTTTAACTTCTGAGCTGTTACCAGTATTTCCAAGTAGTAGATTCGGGTAAAACCGTAAAGTATTTTATAAAATAATTATAATGACAAAATTATTTCCTAGACAAACTAATATTAATAATGTTTCTTTAAAGAGTATAATGACTGTATTTTACTGAACAATTAAATGAATGTAATTTCATAGACAATCATCAAAATCATAGAAGTTTGACAGTTCATTTTTAATCTCCTCTGGTGTCAGTTTAAATCACCTTAAAAAATGACATCTTAAAGGTGAAAAGTTTATAACGAAATGTGAACAAAATTGCAGATAGCCGTCTCCTGTAAAATATTAGGTGTCTTGACACTTTGCCTTCAAATAATCACGATTTAACTACATAAGACCTTATACTGTAAACAGATACAGTGCAGTTTTAAGCATCTTTGTTTCTGGGTGACGTTTTTAGAATTGATATCATCAGACATTTTGAAATATTTATGAGACTTGAGATAAGCTATGTAGATAATAAAGACAAATTCCTTCATTTACAGACTTATTTATTGCTACTAGAGACCCCAGTGTATATAAATGAAATTTAATGCGTATTTTATTAGCTTATCCCTGACAGATATATATATATATAGAAAGACAACACTAATTTATTTTTCCTTTGTCTTCAGACCTAAACT